CCTAGAATGGAGAGAAGAAAAAGACTTCTTAGCGTCTTTCACACAGGCTGCCTTGAAGAGACACCCAGACTAAAGATGCTTTAGGCTGAGGATTGTATGTCTTGGCTCACACAGCTTGGTCCTTTCAGGGGCCCAGCAAATAACTGCAGCTCTTTCTTGCTTGCACCTCTCCTGTCTTGCAGCAGTGTCCCTCACCTCTGCCGGGCCAGCCCCACTGCACCTGGCTCTTTCCCCAGCGGAAGCACCATGCCCGGTGGAAGCCTCTGCCAAGGCCAGGTGCACCCTAGTGACTTGCCCTGCCGCACATTCCAGCTGCCAGGGAGCAAAGGTGGCTTTCTTTATCTCTTATCACTCGTTCGCGGGTAACTGAAAAACTCCCGCTGGTGCTGGACTGATGCTTGTATAAGCCGAGGGTGATTGTTCTGGTCTCTGTGGGTGTATACCACAGAGAAGCAGAGCAAAAGACAAGTTCCCGAAGGCCTCTAAAAAAAGCAGAAATGGGGTATGTCTGTGCAGATCCTAAGGTTTCACACCAAAGCTGGTGGGAGTGAGCCCGGCATTGATGGACTTCTTGTCCATGGAAGAGCTGGCCCTGAACTGACAGCTGGGATCAGCATGGGCTGATCAGCAGGGTGATGGCATATTTTGGAAAACAGTCTGAATTTTCTCAGCCAACAGCAGCACAGAAGAGAAGAGCTTAGGTTCCCTGTAGGTCCGAGAGTGATCTACAAGGAAGATTTAGGCTGCATCTACATTACCAGGCAGTGCGGCCCCAAGAGAAGTGGGTCTGTAGAGTGAAGCAGTTTGGTGCAAAGGACGTGATATCCACACTAGTCATGTTTCAGGGATTCTACTTTGGACTAGCTGTGGTCTGGTCCCAGGGATGAATACCCAAAAGCAGCTGTAGCTCACTGCATGCTTAGTCCATCTAAAAGGAATTCAGATTTTGCACTCAGAGTGTCTGCAACGGCAACTGCAGCACAGTAAATAGGATGACAGAGGACTTGCTTCAAAAGTGCCCTTCTGTCCTGAACAAATCCACTAATGCCGGCGCCTCCAGGGAGCAGGAAGTAAGACAGCATTAGCTCATGGTCTTATCCTTCTGCACCATATGGGATCTTGAAAACACAGTTAGCTTAAATATTGACTCTGGTAACAAAAGCTTCATTTTCCTCTCTGTAGGTATGTTTCATGTCTTCTTGGGTTTGTGTTTTTTTAATCCAGTATGCCATCTATTCGCCCTAGAAGAATTGGACTGTCCAAGAAATAACCGGCTCCCAGGCAGAATTCCAGCCCTGAAGGAAGAATGTCAGTCCGGGTCTGTTCATTTTGGTAGCAGGTGCAAAGCACCCTTTAAAAGCCGTTGCTTTAGGTCTGCTCACAGATGGCTGGTTTAATGCATACTGGCTTTGCAGCACTCTCCGGGGAGCGCTCCATTCTCCTGCCCAGGTCTCAGCAGCCAGGTGGCCTGTTCCCAGGCTCACTTTCCTCCATGGCAGATCCAGGAGTTTTAGCGAAGAGCTTCTAAGCAAAACGTAGCACTCACCTGGGTAGCTGCAGAGTGCCAGGCAGAGGAGCAGGAAAACACCAGTTGCTTTCATGGTAAAGGTGATGCTTTAGTAGGGTCAGCAGGACTCTTCTCTGACTTTCAGAGACCCCATTTCTGATGGTCCACATGAAGACCTTTATAGCTTTCCCCATCTCTGGCGCCACCCTGCACGGCCAGCTCCACCCTGGAATCTTGTGATGACAACATTCAAAATATGGGGATAACGCCAGGTGGCAAATGGCTCATTTGTGTGCGCAAGGATAAAAGCCTCTCAGAAGCCAGTGGAGGTAACCGCCCTTATCACTGGCAAGGGCTGGAGCTTTATCTCACAGATGGGAGACAGCCTTGGGTCTGCCCTGCAAAGCTGGGAAAATGGGGCTTTGTGCAAGAAGCAAATTGAAGAAAAAGGCTGGATGGCAAGCAAAATACATGCCTGAGCTGGCCTCCCCTCTAGCACAAGCAAACCTGATTTGCATAATTACCCTGCCACTGCCGTTCACCGGGCTCTGGGTGAAAATGGCCTCTGTCCACATGCATCCTTCCTAGCATGATTGACAGAGCAGAGCTAGGGTGTCACCGTCCCGAGGGCTCCCCTTCCCGCTCTGGACAGGGAGGCACAGCAGCCAGGACTCCTGGTGGGAGCAGGGGCCCGGCTGTGCCTTGGGCTTGCTTATGGCCACGTGTTGCCTGCTGTTATTTTGACTGCAATCTTTGTGACGGCAGGAAGGCCACTGAAATGGACTCACTGGGTCGGATGCTGCTCTCTTCCCCTCTCCCTGCCTCCAGCTTGGAGTAAGCTCTGGGGATTGCCTGCGTTTACTCCGCAGCGCCAACGGTGTGCTGTGGAGAGTGGATCTGTCCCTTGGGTATTACAGGGATTAATTAATGTTTCTAAAGCACTTTGATATCTCATCCATAAATCGCTGGAGAAATGCAAAGCAAATTATTACTAATGGGGGCTTATGACTCAAAGACAGATTTTTAATTAGCTGAACAGGAAGAAGTCAATGCCAACAGCAATTCAAGGAGGTGTTTGCGAGACTCAAATCTCAGTTCAAACTGGCAACTGCTCTGCCGTCCGCGGGAGACCCCAGCCCATGTGTGGCTCTTGCAGGATGCTGCCCTGGCAGAAGCAGCCCTCCTCCTCTCAGGCTGGCTTCGGTGGCAACGGAGACTTTCCCTGGTCCCCTAGTCTCATTTCCCTTTTGCTCTTTGCCCACTTCCCAAGCGCTCCGGAGCCACCTGCAACTCAGGGCTAGAAGAAATGCTTTTAATAGTGTCTTTCATTTTAATAACTTGGAGAGCAAAGGAAGGTTTGTGCATGACCCATGCAGCAGCCGTGAATACCTGGGTTAAGCCCTCTGACTTCTCTGGGAGGAAGAGTCAGGCGCTGTTATCACCCTCTGAGGAGCAAGGGAAGGAGGTATGATCATTTTTTATAGCTGAGCGAGGTTCACCTCAATCCAGCACTGTCCCTATTGCTCTTCCAACACACTGTTAGGTTACAGCACGAGTAAAGCAGGGAGTGCCAAAAGCTGCTTTGGTCTCACCCCTCAAAGCAAGCAGGAGCCTTAGCAATGACATTTTATGGTTATTTGCCAGCCCGGTTTGGGAAAAGATTTTCCTCTTCAATCTATAACACATGTAAAGAGAGCAGAAGAGGCAGTGCTGGAAAGAGTTTGTCCGACTACCCCTTGTCTAGGATGTGCCTACTCCTGTTAAAACACATTTGCATGTTTTCCGGTTTAGAGATCCTCACCAGAGCCAGGAAACGTGATGGGTTTTATTGTCCGGAAGCAGAAACGTCTTTACTCAGATTCCTTGGAAACATCCAGGCATATCTCCAAACTTGAGGTTGATGGGTAAATCCTCAGCGTTTATGGGAAACGCGCTGGCTCCTGGGACGTTTCAAGTGTGTACAATGCCATGATTTCTCACTTTTCCTTCCTCTGAAGTCAGAGACACCGAAGCCAAGACAGGCTGCCGACCGCCCCCTGCCTGCTGGACACTTCTCTCTTCATCTTTTATCACTTTGGCTCCTGTTAGGTTTACACTGCCTTCTTTCCATGTTCCTAAGCCCTCCCAGAGCTGTATGAGTTTGTTTAGGTGCTTTACTCCTGAAACAAGTTGAAGAAACTCCAGAATAAGCAGTATACAAGCTGAACTTAATGAATTGAGCCAAACCCACTGATTCAAAGGCGGTGTCATCTCTGCCAAAAGAGGACTCCAACACAGCCCGCTACTGGTGGAGCTCAACAGCAGCTGCAGTAGGTTTTTAACACAGTTTATCCGTCAGTAATTCCTCCTCCTTCCCCAGTGCCTCTGCTGACACCTGTCTGGTTATGAGACACCTTCCAAAGGAGGATTTCATGGGCTCCTCTATCCTGATTGACGTCTACTCTATGTCCTTCAGCAAAATTGGACAGAAATGCTTGGGGCTTCTCTGACTGGGGAGGAATAAAAAAGAGCCTTGAGCTCCTCTTGCACTGGGTAGAAAGGAGCAGGAAGATTTCCTCAGCAGTGGGGGCTTTCTTGGGATGTGTCACCTTGTCGAAGCAGCATGTTCCTCTGAACACATCAGCTGGAGGAGTAGGGAGAAATGACTCAGGCAGCTCTGCCAGCAAAAAGCAAAGCAAAAAAAACCCCACAAACCTCCACTTCTATCAGTCTCCATGAGGTAGCATCCTGCAAAGCCCCTGAGGCCTGAGCAGGTCAAGTGGCTCCTGTTACCTTTAAATGGAAACGCTGAAGGAGGAGAGCAAGCAACCGCG